AAATTCTTGTGACAAATTGATATAATGGCAGTAATTCGGTTTGCTGAATAGAGAAATCTGATCTACTTTCAATTGAGATATCAGTTAGGAATTCAAGCTGGTTTGTTCACTTAAAATCTGTCATGATATGCGTACTACGGGTATTGAAGTGTTAATAATTGATAAAATGGTTAGTTTTACTCAAACTGGTTTAGTGACAGAGAAACAGTGATATTTGGCATTGTATATGTGAGGGAATTAGAGAATGGTGTGAACGCGTGTTGACACTGTCTGGAATTAGATAAGTTTCCAATTGAACGATGATTGACATTGTCTGGTAATAACAAGAGAAGGGTTATCGGTTCAGATTAATCACCAGTAAGTAAACTGAACTATGCATGAGTGCCAAAAATTCAGTTAATACAATGTTTGTGAGAGTTGAGTTGAACATTGATAATATTGAAACATTGTTATATTTGTGTCCTATGTAAGGTGAACTGACGGTCTTCTTCTTCTTGTTCATCTACTTCGCAATAATGATAAAATTACGAAGAATATGTTATGATTTAGCATCAATTAGCATCACACGATATTACCATTTATTGTTGTTGTTGTTTTAGGAAAAGGAGGTAAGTGGAATTGAATAATGTGAAATGTTGCTCATGAGTGTCAGTTACTAAATGAATCAAACACAGAATGGTAACACGAATAGTCGCAACAATGTTTAGTGCAAATAATTCTGTGTTCAGAAACCTTATACGATAAACTGTTTGGATGATATCTTATGGAATATTTGCCTTCAGTAAGGTGACATCATGAGAAACAGTCTGAGTAGTGTGTATCTCTGTGTTTCTCACAGATGAGTTAAAACAGTTTTTAAGGTTTTAGCATTAGAGGATATGAATGAAACATATTCTGTAAGAAGTAAGTGTGTAAGTTGATCACATCCATCATATTGATAATAACTATTCATAGTATTGAAGTATAGTAGGTAGTTATGATTGTTTATTTCATTCAAGTCTACAATAGATATACTGACTATCAGTAATTTAACATCAGTGAATAGATTTGCTCTGTTCCATTCTAATCAGAACATTACAACACAAACTATCGATGTTGATTTTCGTAATGTCAATGATTTTGTTAGTGATCTTTGATGTGGAGTAAGCATAATAATTATTTTGTTAATGTCATTAATTCACCTGATATATTCTCTGGCTCATTTGTCCTTCACTCTTTGAATATGTGACTGTTCAGGAAGTGTTCATTTTAGACATACTATTTACTAATGTGTTCTACTGTCTCAGAGTGTATGGTACACAAGTGATTTGGGAATTAGATTCATGAGTTTACTATTTTGTTTGACTTTATTTTCCGAGAACAATTAACTTGCTACTTATAAGTTAATATGAATGTTGCATTGACTGAGATATATTCTCGACTAGTTGGAGTAGAATACGATATTGTTATCATGCATGTGAGGTTGGTAGGTGAAAATACGAACTTGAAGTTATTAATCACTTCGAAAAGTTAAATTGTTAGTTTTTCCAACATGAATACTACTTCATATTTGAGTGTGACTTGTCTTATTCAACAGTGTTACATTTGTGTTTGATAGATTCGATATTGTTGATAAAAATTACTCCGGAAATATTCTGAGAAACATGTTGATTAAATGATATCACCTCAACAAATTGAATGGAATCTGGTGAAGTAATATCAACTAAGTGTCAGTGATAGCACTGATAACATTCCATCATCACGTTGCTCTCAATCCAGCCTTATATTATAATGCCAGATATTGTGATTTGTTATATTCATGAGTAATCATTTTGATTGACAAATTCTTATTTAAGACTTCTTATATTGGATACGTGGTAAGTTGGATATCACTCTACAATTCTAAATCATTTATTACTGAAATGATATTGATATTTTTGATCTCATTCAGATCAATATAATGTATACCTCATTGTGGATTTCTAACAGTAGAACCAGATAATGAAGTAATGAGAAATCAGTTACCGTTCATACCTATTTCTTGTACTTGTATCACATTAACGGGAGATGATTGTCACCTAGCAATTTACATAGTACATATAGATGCTTATAGTTTCGAGTGTTTCATATTTGTGAGATTATCACCATCTGTTAATTCGGTACTCAGATGACATTTATATGTGCCTGAAAATAAACATTCCACACGCATCTATAGAGACTAATGTTGAGTTTTCATTACTGATCATCGAATTGTTGCTGAGAAGATCATGTTTAGAAGCACCAGCATCATTTCAGTAAATGAGCAATTCTTTTAGTCATCTACATTATAAACATTAATTCGATTATTATGTCTATTTGCAGGACCAATTTATACACACGTTTGGCTGACACTTGGAGATGCTTTTTGGAGAAATTACCTCAAAATCTCGGAGGCAAATACAGGGCGTGTAACGAACCAAAAAATAATACTACAAGTAGTGGCTAAATATATAATTTTATCTTGATTTGTTGTTTTAAGTGAGTGAGGTCTCGACAATTTTATTTCGGTTTATTTGTGTGTTATTGAAATGTAGGTTGTTTGAATGGTTGGAAACTCTATTGATATTATTGTGACTGGTGATGTTCAACATCTGATACTGAAATACACATTGTACACAAATTCAGCATATGTTAAGCAAAAGTGGGACGAATAAATTGAGTGTTACAAAATCCAACTTGCAGTCTGGTAATGCAATGTGAAAAATTGCAACAAATGTGGTTGATTATGATTAAGTTGTAAAACTTCTTGGTCATCAAGGACATTCCTAATTGATATACGTTCATGTCAATAATGTGTAATGGTAAACCAATAATTCTTGTTGTTACTTATGAGTCGACTATCATTGATTCATTATAAAGAGTAATTTAAAACTAAATGGAGTGCATAGAATCCTTACTGATTGGTCTATACAACTGGTTCAGCAACAGCAGGTGAAGTGATTAACTGACATAGAATCGGTCTCCAAAAGTTAATCAATATCGATTGGTTGTAAAATACTAATTGGAGGATTTCCGTAATGATGAGTATTGTGAGATAGTTAGAAATTGCATGTGAGCATTGAAATGGATGCTAGTATACAGAATTTTGTTCGGTGTGAAAGTTATCTGGACTCCTGAATAGTTGAGATTTTATATATTTGTAGACAGGCGTCGATGGATATTACTATGAATGAAATCACTACTGATAAGTAACGAAAACACGCACCAAACATGAATTTCGACAAGAGAGATGATAATCGAAATACATACTTGTGAAATATTAGAGAAGTCCTAGAATTGTCGTTGTGGTGGTTGTGTTGGTATTATTGTAATGAAGAAGAACACCAGTGGGGACAATCAAATGTATTTAACACAAAATTACAGGACCAGTTAATAAAATCTATCAATCAAATAGTAAATGCGTAATTTGCAAACTGTCCATCAACTGTCTCATAATGAGTCAGACTTCATTGTTCCTACATTTTCATACAAATTGCATTCTGGTTCCATTATTTACTGTTCGATCCTGTTGTCTCTCTACTGCCTGACCTTCTGTTTACGACTAACATCATATACTACTTATGTCAATATAAGTAGCACACACCATAGTATTAATGATAATATTAGTATTATTATTAGTACTGGTAGTGTTGGCAGATGGTATTGTATTAGTGAGAGTTTAACGGTTGTATGATAATCGATGATGTGTGTAGATATCAACAAAATAAAATACAAAGTCAACCTAACATCAATATCAGATGATAATAATGAGGGATGACAATAATAACAATAATAATAAATATTAATAATGATAATAATGAGGGATCCAATATAGTTGATGCAAATTATTATATAATTACCATAATAAGCTATTACTCTTGATTCTACTATCCCGTCTGTTTCTCGATTCAACAGTGTAATCGCACCGAAATTAATGAATAGGGAATCGTGTTACTGTATAATGAGAAACAGTTTGCATTTCGACTTGTCATTAACAATGCATGTGATGCATGTATGCTCACATTGTCTCCCAAGCATTTGAATGGGACATTTGTATGTGCTCCGTACTCAATAGGATCAATAGGTGGTTGTATTACAATTGAAGTGACTTGGAATTATTGAAACAGGGTTTACGATTTTGTGTGTGAAATTCACCTTCTCTCAATAGACATGATGAGTCTGATCAGATTCATTGGGCATTTGTAGATAATTAAAACGCATACTGAAATCTGATGGCTGTTTATCATACAGTTTTGTGAAAACACTGCATGCTTTGTAGAAATGTAACCGTATTAAACATTTTTAACGAGATGAAATTGGCATACATTTTATCTTCATTTGACCTCAGTTTTCTGAGGTATGCATGAAATTTTGAGTCAGTGTGTGAGTCAGTCACAATCATTTTAAATAGATCTTCATTTCTACCATTGCACTCATAGAGCCTTACCATGAATTTCGAACTGTTAAAATTGGTGACTTAATTTAATTTTTCCATTTATGTGAGCAACATCACATCAGAGCAATCTGGTTTCGAGACTATTTCAGGAACATTTGTCATCATCACAGTATTGAATATGGATTCTGCATTCCATGTGTAAGGTGTGAGAGCACTCGGCATTTGCTACAATGACATCTGAAATTTGATCAGAATATGACTCATTTAAAGTATATTTTTCAACTATATTATAGTATTTGTAAAATGCCGTATTTTATAATGTCATTATACATTTTTCCCAGACAAGGAACAACAGTCGTTAAGAAGAAATATCAACACATTTTAATTTTGATATAACTCACAATGGACACTGTAAAATTCATCTAATTTAACTTTATATGATATGTCTATGGGAAACAGAAAACTTTGAGCAAAGTGGACACGACTAGATAATATGAATCGAACTGAAAACATGCTCTGCAATTTGTCACATATATGGACTGTTGATCCCGTCATAATACATATCTCTGTACATATTTGTGATTTTAAACATCTGATATATACGAATATGCTTGCATCAAAACAATGCAGCCTAAAGTAAGACGCTGATCAGTTCTTCATTGATAACTTTCTCAATGATCACATGAGGATTGTGGACACGCAGTTGATTAGACCGCCTTATTCAATGTCATATGATAACCAGTTGTACTCTGTTTTGTAAGGGGCCTTGAACCATCTCAATTTTTATGTTTTATCTACATTCTTTTGTGACTTACCCACTAAACATCGAAATTATTTGCTGTTTGTTAATCAACGCAATATGTATAGTACTTTCATAGATCTAAATTCGTAACTTCAAACGAATACATCTTTACTCGATGAACTATCATAAGGTTACAAACGAGACGTATTAACTGGAAATATGATGAAAAGAATCTGGAACATCATTCCGATGATACATATACACCTGAACTTAGTCATAATCAAATAATCAAGGTGAGTGAATTGAACGGTTGTAATTCATGTCAGATGATATGCTATCTGAAATCAAACTTCTTGAATAGCTCAATTTTACAACGTAAATGAGGATTTGCGATTGTTGGAAACATTCCTGTGAATTTAGACACACGACCTGTATTAGTTACATATATTCAAGACTTTTTTATTTGGAAAAGCAATATCTGGCTACAAAATTATGTTTGCAGATTTATCAGCGAAAAATCAGCTTCCTTATTTAGTACTAAATACCTACACTGCTTAGACAATGACGTATCGGTTTCCCATTCCATTTTATTTCCATCGAAAGAATAACACATCTATTCAGTAATGATTGTTTAATAACCTAATGATTTGTTTGTTCCTTTTTCGCTATTAATCTTGTCTACAGCATCAAAATGTGGTTCATGTGAATGTGAGTCGATTTCATGTTGATATAACAAATAGCGTTGAAAAGAACGGAATCAACTACTTTATTTCAGCTTTTGACAGTTATCTAGTTTTATGAAATATGGTATTAACGCTTAACAATTCCGCTGATGTACATCTCACCATACATATCCCCAACTGTAAACGTGATAGCAGTTAATATAATTAACATGTATGAATACCGTTGTATTTGTCTTCTTTTTTGGTTTTCATTTGATTCTTCATGACATGAAGTATTGCATTACATACATTCATAAGCAACATTGATTTGAAACTATTTATTTGTGGCTTCAAATATTCAGTCCTTTATGTAACGAACAATACTAAATATCAGAAAAACGATGTGAACGAAAATGACAATACTAAACCACAATGAGGTGAAAAGTGGAGATGATTTTATTTGGCACAATGAGGATTTGATTCATGCATTTGGGTGATGTTTCATTCATCTTAAAATACTCAAAGTCAATAAGATACACGTTCTCTATTTCCAATACACCATCAGCGGTCAAATAAAATATCAGCCATTGTGAAACAAGGGAGTCCAAATACTGCAACAAATGTATTGATGAAAACGGTACAGAAAACTTCAGAAATAAGACATAGGAATGGCAGTTCTACTTGTGGACTCAGTGGTTATGTTGGACTGAAATCTGCTAAGACTTGAGATATTAGTATACACAGCAAAGCAATAGTTTAAATAAATTCCAACCAACACGCAAATTCATTTAAACAGAAAGCTATGGAATCTAACTATCGGTAATACTAAAGCGTGACACTTTGTGCTATTATGGTCAAACTACAGAATTTGTTTTGTTTCTGTGAACTTAAATAAACTAAGAATAATGAACTCATACATTCCTTTGTTGATTCTAATTCCTATATGGTTGGAAACATCATGCATTTGGAATGTTGGTATATACTTTAAAATATAGCAAATCATTTTGTTTATTAAATCTATGCTTATGGTAAATAGTTTAAATATCAGTAAACCTTGGAAGTGAAACACATTTAGATGATAAAGTACTTTATATTCACTACTTGTAAACAGATTGGATTAACATAATTCAGCAAGACCTCAAATCAGTGAACAATAACAAGTACATCTAATATGTAGTACATCCAAATTCAACATACTAGCACTTAATACTAACTCAAAGGTACAAAACTTAACTCTCCTTTTCAATAAACGCACTAAAGCAACTCAAAATGTTGATATACCATGCATCCAGCATAATAGCACTTTTATATACGACTCTAAAACTATAGCAGATCTTTTCAGTGGTATTTTTGAGAATGGTGTACGAATCATAAGTAACTCTGCTTCAAGAGTTATGTATGTGACTAGCAACTCAATAAAATCTATCTCATTCACATGCATGAAATTAATAAGCTACAAATACTCTTAAGCTTTCGAGAGGTCATGGAGCAGACGGGATTTCATCCCTTCTCTACAAATATGGTGGTCCAGATATTCCACTTCTTCTTCTTCTTCTAAAGTTGTTTACTCCCTCTCTCTCTCTCTATGGAGACTGGTTCTTACCCGTACTGTTGGAAAACTGCGTACATCATACCACGTTACAAATCTGGAGATAAGACTGACATGAACAATTGTTGGCCGATAAATATTACTCCATTTATTTCTAGGATAATGGAAAAAATTATAAGTGATGAACTTTCCAACTATTTACTCGCTGGAAAATTTATCAATGATACTCAACATGGATATCTTAGAAATCGATCTTGCATGACATGTCATTTTGACTTCTTTAATTTAGTCTATTCTCTACGTAGCTAAGGATATCTAGTCTTAGTGCTATATCTGGACATTTCTAAAGCCATCTACATGCTTAGTCATCAACTTCTTATAGGTAAACTCGCATGTTATGGGGTTCAAAATCATTTACTAGCTTGGTTTGATTCCTTTCTCAGTAATCGACATCAAATAGTTAAAATTAACTCTTCATTGCCTAACGCTGTCCCTGTTGGAAGTGGTGTAATACAAGGTAGTGTCTTAGGCCCTTTGCTCTTTTTAGCGTTTATCAATGATATTTGTGAAAGTTTCTGTGTGAGTAAACCCCTTCTATATGCAGATGATCTTAGAATAGTATATTCATTTTCTCCACATGAGCTGAAAATTATGCAAAATTGCATCAGCATGGAGCTTAAGAAGGTAGCACAGTGGTGCTTAAAATGGCAACTGGAGCTTAATATGGCTAAATGTGGATGGATATGCTTCGGCGATACATCACTCAACCGAGACCTTACCATAAATGGAGAAGTCTTATCTAGGTTACATACAGTAGTAGACTTAGGAATTAGATACTTCCAAGACTTGTCGTTTACAGAACAGACATTGAAACAGACCTCTAAGTCTCAACGTCTAATAGGTTACATATCTCGAAATCTTTACAACATTGAGTCACGTATTCTAATGTACAAAGTTTGTGTTCGACCTCTTCTAGAATATTGCACGTTTATTCTTAGCAATGAGCTCATAAATGATAAATTAAGGCTGGAATCAGTACAGAGACAGTTTACACTTCGTATTCTTGGAGCTGATTGTACCTTAACTTATAATTCTAGATGTAATAAACTTGGGCTAGACCCTTTATGGAGTAGGAGATTCAACCTAAATTTTATCTTTTTCTTCAAACTACTTCATAAACTATCCTTTACATTCGATCACGTGATTCAATGTGCAGAGACTTCTCATTATGACATCCGTAATTCCTTGGCACTAGTGAAACAAACTCATTCTAAATCGTCTCTTTATATGAATTACTTTACCTGTAAATTTTCAAGACTCTGGAATAACCTACCACAATCTATCCGTACGATAATATCACTCCCATTATTTGTTCGCTGCATCGATGCATCTATTGAATGTCCTAGCACCTGTAATTGTATCTCATTCCACAAGTGATATTATAGAAACTTTAAATGTTGAGCCATAATTAGTAGTGCATTCCCTAGGTAAAACAACCTACTTGCTGTCAGTTTATGTTAACACCGTCCCCAGCAAGTTTAACTAATTTGAATAACATCAACAGTATATCACTGTGTCGCATGACACACGCATTTCGGTAGACCTAATTGACATATTTTGGTAATTACTGCTTCGTTGTTCCGTGCTCTCTGTTTTCGTTTTAATTTCTCTAGTTGTAGATTATTATCATTAATTCGATCTGGCACACGAATTGACCTTAATTACTCTCCCTTCATAAATCAACAGGCTGTCCATTTAAGAAATAGTAAGAATTCCCGGCTGATGCATTGGATCGCTGTAATACATGTACTACCTAAACAATTACTGAACTAGCATACTTAAAACTTTCTTCTATCACATGTTTGTTCTGTACATTTAATGTTACTATTTATATCGAACTGATCATACCTGTAAACTGGCGTGAATTCTGTGATTGTTATTTTTAGAATATATAGATTACTATTATTATTATTAATTAGATGAAAAGTATTGTGGCATGATACTGGTATCCACATTGAAATCTAACATATTTCTTTGTACAGTAAGCCTATACTTGTTATTTGACCTTTGAACATCAGTCTACTTCCCAAATCAATCAGATTTTACAGACAGATGATGTGATATTCAAAGTGTAAGGTATGATTATTTTATCCAGTCAAAAAGTCAACTTGAAGAAACGAGCTGAATTGTGAATGAGCCAATTTATGATTTCAAGATTTTCTATCAACATTATAACTTATTTGAACATGTAGCCGTTCGCCAGAATTATTTTCAAATGCTTAAGATTGGACTTGTTATATGAAATCCACGATTTTCTTATTTAGATGAAAAGTGAATTGTTAAATATTGTTCGTTCGTTCGTTCGATCACATCGGATGATATAATATTCAAAGTATCCACTTTTAGTCGTTTCGATTTTCCCTATGGAATTAAAATTGAAATTTTAACAGAAGGATGCTCTTCAACAAGCTATGCATCCCACTTTGATGGAAATAGTGAAATCTTTATTGAATTTTATCATCATTTAAATCTCGAGAATAGTGTTATGCATAGAGTAACTGTGAACTGCTCAATCATATACTGGTGCTCGTTATCACATAATTTTCCTGAGATAGGGTACTTCACACATCTACTTGATCTATTTAAGTTTTGAAAATAACTAAGTTTGGTACCTAACCAGTCAGTAACTCGATAGTGTACGAAATTCTGATGTGTCTTGAGCTTCTAAATTTCTCTTTTACAAAATATTTCCAATGTTACAGTGCATCAATTACGCTCTTTCTTCATCGGTTATTTAACTTCACCAGCCTCAATTTCCAAGATCCTGATAATCTACTATTCATTTAGACTCTTTTATACTACTAAGATATGTATATACAATGGTACTTATGTTACTTATGTGTTAAGTGGACAAAACCAGCATACAAAAACATGAGCAAAGAATCTGTAAAATCCATTCAAACAAGCTTTATTTTTTTAATTTATAAGATAACTTTATTGTTCGGGTTACTAAGACACAACGCCATTTTCGACATATCGATACTTGGATATGTAATAATAAGTACACAAACATTATCACAACATCATTCACCGTAAACTTAAATTTCGTTACAACTAACTGGGATCTATCAGTATAGGATTGTGAAGATTGTTGAGTTTTTGAATTAAGATCATGAACTGATCAATATTAGACTATGAATGAAAATCTGGAAGCACTGGATGATCGTTCCGTCCTAGTATGGGACTCCTCAGCAATGAGTATCCACTACGTTGCACATGAAACTCCAACCCAGAACCTTTGGTCTGAGATTTCATAAAACACTGGTCTTAATAAATAAGACTAAGTATAGATAGTGTATCGAAATATTATCACTCAATAATAATTTTGATATGATATTTTTATTTTTGGTTACTATCCATCAATCTTATCAATAATTTTAATAAATATTTTACAATTTCTATTACTATTGTTAATATTAATCACATCACTACTACTACTACTCACATCGCTTTTGATACTACTATCATTACTACCATCGTCCTGTTATTATTACTATTATTATTATTAGTAGT